GTGGTCACAGTTGTCTCATCTAGTTCGAACAGCTAGGGTCATTCTACATTTTGTTTACTAATGAGTCAGTGTATAATTGAACTTCTGCAGGATCTACTAATGAGTCAGTGTATAATTGAACTACTTCAGGATCTACTAATGAGTCAATGTATAGTTGAACTACTTCAGGATCTACTAATGAGTCAATGTATAATTGAACTACTTCAAGATCTACTAATGAGTCAGTGTATAAATGAAATTCTGCAGGATCTACTAACGAGTCAGTGTATAATTGAACTTCTGCAGGATCTACTAATGAGTCAGTGTATAATTGAACTACTTCAGGATCTACTAATGAGTCAATGTATAGTTGAACGACTTCAAGATCTACTAATGAGTCAATGTATAATTGAACTACTGAAGGATCTACTAATGAGTCGGTGTATAATTGAACTAGTGAAGGATCTACTAATGAGTCAATGTATAATTGAACTTCTGCAGGATCTACTAATGAGTCAGTGTATAATTGAACTACTTCAGGATCTACTAATGAGTCAATGTATAGTTGAACTACTTCAGGATCTACTAATGAGTCAATGTATAATTGAACTACTTCAAGATCTACTAATGAGTCAATGTATAGTTGAACTACTTCAGGATCTACTAATGAGTCAATGTATAATTGAACTACTGAAGAATCTACTAATGAGTCAGTGTATAATTGAACTTCGGCAGGGTCTACTAATGAGTCAGTGTATAATTGAACTACTTCAGGATCTACTTATGAGTCAGCGTATAATTAAACTACTGCAGGATCTATTAATGAGTCAGTGTATAATTGAACTTCTGCAGGAGCTACTAATGAGTCAGTGTATAATTGAACTTCGGCAGGGTCTACTACAGAGTCAGTATATAATTGAACTACTTCAGGATCTACTAATGAGTCAATGTATAATTGAACTACTTCAGGATCTTCTAATGAGTCAGTGTATAATTAAACTACTGCAGGATCTACTAATGAGTCAATGTATACTTGATCTTCTGCAGGATCTACTAATGTGTCAGTGTATAATTGAACTTCTGC